TGTATTAATCGTGAATGGTGGTTTGCTATTTTTGGTTCTCTGTTCAAAGAACTCCCTTGAGTATCTCTTGTAAGGTTGGTCTGGTTTTTACAAATTCCCTTAATTTTTGCTTATCTGGAAATCTCCTAATTTCCCCATCATATTTGAGGGATAGTTTTGCTGGGTATATAATTATTGGTTGGAAATTTTTCTCTTTTAAGGTTTTATTTATAGCATCCCTTTGTCTTCTCTCTTAGATGGTTTTTGCTGAGAAATCAGAGGTTATTCTTACTGGTTTTCCTTTGTAAGTAACTTTTTGTTTTTCCCATGCTGTTTTTGTCTTTGGTTTTGATGAGTTTGATGATGATATGTCTTGGTGATTTTCTTTTGGGGTCTATCCTATTTGCATTCATTGGACTTGCTGGATGGATATATTCTCATCTTTCATCATATCAGGGAAGTTCTCTTCCAACAAATCTTGGACAATTTTCTCAGTGGTGTCATTTTTCTCTTCCTGTTCTGGAATTCTGATTACACGTAGGTTATTCCTTTTTGATGGTATCCCACATGAACCTTAGACTTTCTTCTTTTTGTTTTGATCTTTTTTCTGATTGATGCCTTTCCAAAGAAATATTTAGGTGTTTGTCTTCAATCTCATTAATTCTGTCTTCCATTGCATCAATTCTACTCCTTTGCCCTTTCAATGTTTTATCTATTTCTAACAATTTAGTGTTTGTATTCTGGATTTCTGTGTGTAGATTTTGAATCATTTGTAATTTTTCATTTATTTTGTCATTTTGTTCTTGTATTTTCTTCCAAAATTTTTGTAGGGTTTTGTCTGTGTTTTCCTTGATCTGTGTCTCAGTCCTTTGAAGATACTTAAATATAATTCTTTTGAATTCCTTATCAGGGAGTTGCAGTGCTGCTTCTTCCTCAGGGATGTGTTCTGGGTCTGTATCCTGCTTCCTTGTTTCTACCACTTTATCTTGCTTCTTTTTGTGCACTGTGATGGTCTATTGTCTCCGAGACATTGTAACGTTGCTGTGTTTAGATCTCTGTTAACTGTTCGTGAAGAGCAGCCAAGGGTGAGTCAGGCTGTTGGTGGTTGTTTATCCTTGGCCCATTTGTGGAGAAGGAAGTCGTGGCTCTCACTCAGTAAGGAGGAGTTTTGGGTGTAGTTTAGTCATATGGGGACTGTTGGCTGTCTCCCACTCAGGCAAAAATAACAATTGAATAACCATCAAAAAAGTAAAAGCAAATGGAGAAAAAACACACCATGTAATCATACAGGAACAATAACCAAAAAAAGAAAAAATTGGGAGAAAGAAAAACCCTGCCAAATCTGGGAAGAGAGCAATAAGAAAAAAAGTTAGAGTAGGAGAATAATGAAGAAAAGAATGGGAAAAATGTAAAAAGAAAAACAAGAAATGGGGTTACCACGAGACAGAAAAAAAATTGGAACCAGAAACAGGGAAAAGAGAAAAAGCTGAAAACTAGAACCTGGAAGGGAAGAATAAATAATAATAATAATAAGGATAATAATAATAGTAGTAGTAGTAGTTTTAAAACAGACAGAAACACACAAACTAAAAAAAAATTGGGGCTGGGCACCCAGCCTCCGTTTGAACATACAGACTGTGATGGAATTTCTGCCGGCCTAGAAGGTGGTTGGGATTGAGGGATGGCCGCACCTCCATTCATCAAGAGGGTGTGGGGTAGAAGAGTAACAAGGGGAATGCCACACCTTTCCAGTTGTCAGCATCTGTAATGTCCTTGTGGTTCCCAGCAAGTGGGGCCTGTTCTTAAGTCCCTGGAATCTTGGAGAATGTTGTTGCTTTAAATATCCAAAATGGTCAAACCGCTTGTAAACATTGAAAATGACTGTGCCCTCCAGACAGGCAAATGTCCACAGCTCAGGCCGCCTTCCTCTTCACTGCTTTCCCTTTTATTCACCAGCTACCAGAGCAGTCCTCCATGTAGTCCCTGGTTAACAGGGCTGATTTTTAGTTTAATTATTAGGTCCTAACACCACCCAGCCATACACAAGCTATGTGTGCCGTCTGGATCACTGCCAGACTGCAGGTCCGTATGTCTCCTTTTTTGGTGTTTTCATGCAAATTCTTCTGCTAGTTGGAGTTTAGTCCACTTCTATATCCTTTCCTTCAAAGCTCAGGGCTCCAGGATTATCTTCTGTATCTGTGTTAATTGGTTCCCCTGTTCTTTGTTGAAGAGGGTCTGTGCAGTCTTTCTGCCTAGTCCGCCATTTTATTGGAACTCTCTTGGGTCTTCACTTTTTTAACTGACCCTCTACTTTATCCCTTCTGATATGACCATAGAGTACTTACTTTAATTACATGATTACTGAAACTGATCATGGAATAAACAAAGACTACCGGTATGTCACATATTTTGGGTTATTTTTAGCCCTCATCCCTCCAGGCTTTTCTCTTCTTTAGTTACCATATATGAAAGCCTACCTCCTAAAGTTATGGGGTTTACTGAGATGATGACAGTAACCTAAAGTAGTGCCTGGCACGTAGTAAGCGCTCAGAAAGTGGTAGTAGTAATGGTTGTTGATATCATTTGATACTATTGACCAGATTTGTCCTTATAATTGTTAACAGGTTTCTTGAGTGACATTGTTCTCTGTCTGTTCTTATTCTAGTTCTCTGACAATTGTTTAGCTGTTTTCTGTACTTAGTTATCTCCTGTGATACCAGATGCCATCCAATCAATTCCTACTCATCTCTTAAACAGAGAAAGTCCCTAAGGTTTTGCGTTTCACCTTTTCTTCTTGCCTTATACTCATTCCCCGAGTATCTCATAGTTAACTGTTCAATGAAAAACTTTCATTTGTTCACTTTTCACCTTGGTTTCTAATAAGCTTCAAACTCATATTCTCTACTGCCTTTCAGATACATCCATGGGACTATCCCAAGATACCTTAAACTCAGTGTGTCCAAAGCTAAACTTGCTTTCTTTTTTTATCTGGTGGTATAGTGGTTAAAGCATTTGGCTGATAACTAGAAAGTTGGCAGTTCAAACCCACCAACTGCTCTGCAGAAGAACAATGATTCAGTGTTCAATGATACAGTGCTTCTGTAAAGATTTACAGCCTTAACACTGTCAACCTCTTGAAAGGGGATCTATGTAGGAGATTCTGGATAGAGTGGGGGAACAATGTGGAACAGAACTCAAAATCATTTATAAAAAAGGGACCAAGTTTGCTGGCCTGATAGAGCCCAGTAGAACCCCTGTGACTATAGCCTCTAGCTGCCCTTCAGGTCTAGAATTGAACCCACTCCTGTGGCTTCCAGCCAATCAAAAGACAGGCACATGAGCTTACATTTACATTAGGTAGATACATTCTTTGGAGAGCTCAATTTTGGGAGAATAGAAGGGCTGTGTATGCATAGGGAGACGCTTGGGAGGCAGGAATGCATGGGAGGGAAGGACACAGGGAAGAAGTAACTATGGGGAGGGAGTGGGAGGAGAGCTGTTGCATTGTGGGAAATTGTAGTCAGTGTCATGAGACAAAGTATATGTGAACTGCTGTATAGAAGATGAATTTGCTTTGTAAACTTTCACCCAAATCACAATAAAATTTTTAAAAAAAATTTACAGCCTTGGATACACTATGTGACAGTTTTACCCTGTACTAGAAAGTTGCTATGAGTCAGAATCAACTCCATAGCAGTGGGTTTGGTTTTTGGTTAATCTTCTGCTTTATTAACTGTTTCATTAATAGCATCACCTTCTACCTTGTGATATAAACTAAGTCATCGTTGTGTCTTTTCTCTCTCAGCCTTCACATCTAATCATTTGCCTAGTGCTTTTGATCATGCCTACTGTTTTCCTTATGTTGGGTTTTTCCCTTTTATTTACTTTGTTCTTATGTCATGCATATCTTACCTGATTATTGTAATGAAATCATAACATAACCCTTTTTCCTTTTTTCATTTATTTTTACTCTGTGTTCAAAATTATTATTAGAATTACCTTTGTACAACCCAGACAATATCCAAAAAACCTTTTAATGACTTCCAGTTACCTAAATGATACACAGAAAACTTCTCATGGCCTGGCTGTTAGAGTACCTAACATCATACTACTTTTTATTACCTGTCAGGGACTATAACCTTGTAATCCCTGCTGCGCAGTCCTAATGCATTTGAAAGAAATAGTACTTAGAAAAGATAAACTTCAGTCTTTGCATTCTATCCATTCCTGAAAATCTACTTCTAGATAAGTCCGAGCCACTAAATACTTTTCTGTTTGCCTACCACATCCCAAATTAATGCCCTCAGCCTTCTTTGAGAAATACACTACTCTATACTGCTGTTTCTTCCCTGTACTCCTTATACTGGGACTGCTCACCTTGCCTAAAGGTTCCATGCATGTTCATACCTCTGTCCTTTCACTCATACTAGTTCTTCTGTGTAGAAGTTCATTAACTTATTTCTCTGTTTATTAAAATCCTACTCACCCTTCAAGGCTTTTCTGATACATAACCTCCTCCATGAAGCTTTTCTTGCTGCTTCACTCAGAGTTCATAATATCTTCCATTGTGCTACTATAGTGCTTTGTTTATACCTATTATTGCACTTCATAAAATTTGTCTTAGATGTTGGTGGTGGTGTTGTTGTTATGTGCTGTCGAGTCGGACCTGACTCATAGCGACCCCTTCTTGGGTTTCCAAGACAGTATCACTATGGAAGTAGATTGCCCCATCTTCCTTCCGAGGAGCGGTTGTCTTAGATACTATTTTCTATATGCACATTTAATGTTTTTCAGTAGGTTAGAAACTGCTTGAGACTAAAGTTTGTATTTCATTTATCTTCCCCACAAATTTCATGTTAAACATTTAATAAATGTCACATACACACATGCATTGATACATTGCTGCCAAAACATGTAATACTTTTTCTCTCTAAGCATTTAAATGATTTATGTAATGAGCATTATTGTCCTAACTGTTAAGTATCTTATTCACCATTCGTTTTGTGTCTGGCTCTTGCTAGATATGAACAACACGGCTACTACAGCTCGGGTCCTAGTCATTGGAGCTACTAACCGACCAGACTCATTAGACCCTGCTTTGAGACGTGCAGGAAGGTTTGACCGAGAAATATGCCTAGGTATCCCAGATGAAGCATCCAGGGAAAGGTATATTTTTATAGAATGAGCTTTGTATAACACTAAGTTATCTGAACTGAATGCTTTGAAATTGGGAGATAATAAATGCCATATAGCCTTTTCTTTCTCTGTTTTTGTACCAGTGAAATTTACTAAGAAAGGAAAAAACCTACATTAAATTAATGCTTCAGAAAGCAATTTACTTATCAACAGGGCAGTTGTTTTAGCTTGCTTTTTCTGTAGTGATAATGGACTTAGTTATCCACATTCATTTGTCTGGTCTTATTAACAATGGTGTACATTTTTTGTTGGCAGATCAGCTTAGGCACAGTGTCTAGAGCTATAGAATAGAGCAATGCTAACTGGTCCATATGTTGATTAAATCTGAGTTAACCTATTGCAATACTCTGCCTGAGACCACAGGTCTCATGACAAGTAATGAAATTGCAACCAAAGTGTGTTAAAAACTATCTGTGTTTGGTGCAGGATCACCATTTACTAGTTACTGGAGATGAGTGGTTATAGAGCAAAGAAACCACCAAAATCTAGCTAACTAAAAATATTTCAGAAGGTTGTTCAGGTAAGGGAGTGAAAATTTAATGAAGACATTCAGAAATACCACATTTATAATGGCTTTTGGCTTAAGTTAAGGACACTTGAGTTAGTGTACGTGATCACCAACAGCTTTTAGGAAAAGTGGTATACAGTGAAAGGACATAGCCATGGGGACAGTGAGCAAGGAAGAGATGGAGTATAGGAAACTGTATGAATGTGGAGGTAAAAGTGATCAGAAAGCACTGTGGGTAAGAGAGCAGGTTAGGAGGGAACATAACGCTGTCCCTCTCTTTTTTCCATCACTTGATGTTGCTTTATCTTTTGATTATTTGACAATTTTTTGTTCAGCTATTGTATTCATATTCATCTATATGTATGCTAATTGCATTACTACATATGTAATCTTTAAACATAGGTACTCAGCCCTCCAGATTGCTTTACTATCGTGTTTATTCCTGCAGTAAAAGAATGTTATTTAAATTGCTTATATTTATTCAGAAAACATGATTTGTATATAGTGTGTGCATGTACCATGTGTGTATCACTATGGTAGGAAATAAGAGTAATATAAAGAAATATAAGTCTCAGCTTTTAAGGTGCTTTACAGTACAGTAAGAGAAATAAGGTCTGTACCTTTTAAACATGAAATAACAGTTTTTGATCAAATGCAAACATAGTGGTAGAGGCCTGATTGAGCCCATCATCCCTACCAGATAAAAATCTCTCCATCTCCCTAGTATTCCATCAACAACAAATACCTAAAGAACTTGCATAAATGGCCATAATTCTTCTTTATATTTATTGTCATTTTCTCTAAATTTTTGTTTTGAGCAATTACAGACTTAAAGAAAAGTGCAAAGACTGAGACAGTAATTATCTATAATCCCTTCAGCTAAATTCACAACTTGTTAACATCTTTCCATGTGTACTTTCACTCACACTATATAAAAACATACATGTGTCATATACTCGCTCGTGTGCATGCATATTTTTTCCCAAACCATTTAAATGTTAAAGACATGATACTTTTTCCCTAAATACTTGTATATAACTTATCTTGTATGTAACTGTCATACTTAAGAAATTTAGCACTGACACATAATAATGTCTTAATAAACCAAACTCACTTCCATTGAGTCGATTCTGACTCATAGCAACCTTATAGGACAGAGTAGAACAGCCTCATAGGATTTCTAAGGCTGTCTGTGTTCTAATTTTCCCTGTTGCCCCCAAAATGTCCTTTATAGCTATTTTATTTTTATTTATGTCATTATTTTTGTTTTTTGCTTTACCCATGATCCAGTGAAGGATCTCTGCTACTGTTTAGTGACATGTCCTTCTAATGTCCTTTTATCTGCTTTTTTGGGGGCAGGGAATACTTGTATGACACTGACATTTGTGAAGTGTCCAAGCCAGGTATTTTGTCAAATGCCGTATAATTTAACTTTATCTGGTTGTTTCCTCTTGATTAGATTTAGGTTAAACATTTTGGGCAAGAATACTGCATAGATGGTGATGTGACCTCAGAATATCATTTCAGGAAGGTCATAATAGTGATTTGTATTATATTGGTGAGGTTAAAGTCAATCACTTTTTTAAGAAACTCATCGATATGCTCTACTATAAAGGTATTTAGTTCCTTCGTAATTAAAAAATAACATATCTGTATATTTTTGTTATCTGCAATCACTTATGACTGCCTTTTATCAGTCTTTTTAACCCCCTTTGGAGGTGTTCCTTAAGAATTCCAGTTAAGTGTTTTATGTCAGCTGGGATGGTCTAGCTAAGTCATGGATGGCTGGGGCAAGAAGTTAATCTGAGACTAAAAGGAGATTGTTGTTGTTGTTGTTGTTATGTGCCGTCGAGTCCGCCCCGACTCATAGCGACCCCTCCTTGGGTTTCCGAGGCAGTATCACTACGGAAGTAGGATTGCCCAACCTTCCTTCCGAGGAGTGGCTGGTGGGTTTGAACCGCCAGCCGTCTGGTTAGCAGGCAAGTGTCTTAGCCACTATGCTACCAGAGCTCCTAAAAGGAGATTAAATTTTTATTATTTTTAAGACTGCTTGGGGAGAACAGGTCAGAATCTGAAAGAAGATAGCTCTTGAATATAGTTATGAACGAGAATTTCTTTGAAGGAAAAGTGTTTCTGATTGAGTCTAACAAAAGCTGAATGCAATATTCTTATTTATATGCTTTTGTCTCTGACTGCTAACCAGAAGGTTGGCAGTCAAACCCACCAGCCACTCCTCAGAAAGAAGATTGGGCGATCTACTTCCATGGTGATACTGCTTCGGAAACCCACGGAGGGGTCGCTATGTGTCGGATCCAACTCCACGGCAGTGCGTTTGGGTTTTAGCTTTAGTCTAGCTTTTGAGTGCAGAAACAAAATAATTATATTATTACGTGCAGATGCTTAAGAGTTAATTCTGAGATAGGGAGATTATATAAATAGAATTAGTGTTAAGAGATACTTATTTTGTATGAGTAGTTCTTAGAAAGTCATTCATTAATTGAGGAAGTATTTATTCAAGCACTTGTTGCATACCAAAGAGGCATAGTATTAGGAACTTCTGACACTCCTTTTAGTAATCAGAAACACAAAGAGTACAAAAAGGTAAAGATAGGGTCTTGGGATAAATTAGGTGAAACTAACATGGTATAGGGATTCTGAAAGGCTTCGCTGAGGAAGCTGAAACTTGAAGAATGAGTAGCAATTAACTAATGACTTGTTAGATACAGTATTCTAGGAGGGCATTACATATAAAGGCCCTGAGTTGATTGAGCGTTCAGAAGAGTTCAGAGAGTGGTGGAGAGGTAGGATGTGGGAAGACTGGAGAGGTGTATAGAAGCCAGTTCATATACACCTAGGTTAGGACTTTGGGCTTACTCCATGTGAGTTGTGGGAATCAGTGAAAGATTTAAGCAGGACAGTGATAGAAACAGATTTTTGTTTTGAAATGATCACCCTAGCTTTAGTGTGAAGAATAAATTACAGGAGAGCAAGAATGGATTGTGGTAGCCAGTAGAGAGATGATTGTGGGTGGACTTAAGGAGATGAGAGTGGTGACAGATACAGCTGGAGTAACTTGGGGATATTTAGAAAGTAGAATTAATCAGTTAATGTTGGTCTGTGGCATAGGTATGTAGGGGTTGGAGATGATGAGCAAGAGAGATATATTCCCAAGTCTCTGACTTATATTTCAGTGTAGATGGTTTCCTACTGATGAGATGGGAAGTACTGGAAGAGAAACAGGTTTTAGAAAAGGACTTGGAGATGAGTGGAGAAGAAAAGATCAGTTGAATTAGAGATACTTGCAGAATGTCCAGATAAAGATGTCAAGTTGGAAGTTGGACAAGTGAGCCTGGACTCTGAGGAGTTTAAAGATTTGGTAGTCATCAGTGTATTGATGGTACCTGAAGTTATGAAAGTAGATGAGATTGTCCAGAGAGAGTAGGGTGTAGAAACATAAGAGGGTTTGGACAGGTTTGAAGAGGAAAAGCTAACAGGCTAGGGATCAGGAGTAGCCAATAGTAGGGAAACCAAGAAAATGTTGTGAAATTAAGGCCAAAGGAATTTTATGTTTCCAGAAGGAGGAATCAGAGGCATGCGAATCAGAGGTCATGCAGATAAGTAGTCAAGCAAGGAAAAGTTGAAAATTGTTTCTTGAATTTTGCAACCCAGAGGTCACTAGTGACCTTTAACAAAAAGCTGTTTGAATAGAATGTTGGGGGTGAAACCCAGGTTAGAATCATTGAGGAATAAATGCAAGGGGCAAACTTCCAGTTTGTTTAAGGGAAGTTTGTCTGTGAAGGAGTAAAAAGAAAGGGAGGCGTGTAGCTATATGAGTGTGGGTGGTTGAAGTATCAGAGGAGGATTTTTTTAGGATAGGAAAAACTTGAGCTTGCGTACATGTTGATAGGAAGGAGCCAATGGGAAGAAAGGGCTTACGAGAGGAACATAAGCTTATTTAGATCTTGTATAGTACCAGCCTTAGAATGAGGGCTTACTCACTCACTCAGTCTTACTGCCATCGAGTCAATTCCAACTCATAGCAACCCCCTTTGTGTTTCTGAGATGGTAAATCTTTATGGAAGTAGATCTCCCAGTCTTCCTTCCATGGAGTGGCTGGTGGGTTTGAACCACCAGCCTTTTGGTTAGCAGTCAAATGCCTTAGGCATTACGCCACCAGAGCTCCTTAGAATGAAGGCTACTTCTGTTGAAATGGTAGTTAAAGGTGGAAAGGAAGTATATGGAGTAAGTAGGTTTATCCCTGTGGTACTAGAAGGGAGTTTTCTCTGTAGATTACAAAGTGAGATCATCTGATGAAAGTGAGTCACATGATGGATGGATTAAAGATTTGAGGAAGATAAGGAAGGTCTGAAATCATTTTCCTGAATAATTTGAGATAAACTGGCTAGGACAACAGTAGGATTCTGAGGCAGTGTTTAGGATTCAGAGTAAACCAAAACCAAAC